TCATGTACTACCTTAAAAAGCCTAGAATTTAAAGAATTTATATCATGTACTATCATATACTGTGATGTACTGTCCTATACGGTCATGTAGTACCCCGAAAGTCTAGAATTGAATGAATTCATCTCGTGTATTCTCCTGTACTACCATGTACTGAGGTAAAAAGTCTGGAATTTAATGATGGCGTGGGTGCGGGTGTGGGTGTGTGTATGGGTCTCCCTTTGCCCATAATCGTTTCATGTTTAAAAATTCGAAATATTATAATAGTTGACTTTTTAAATAAGTAATCTTGAAAAACATACTCTTTGTGCATTAATGATATACCAATAATAGTACTTGTATGAATAAAATGATTACCCTACATAAACGAACCACAATTGAGATTTTTTCAACTCTTTTTTATCGTGATACTATTTGTGGTCTATCCTGTAGTCCAAGACCAATTATCAACATATCGAGATGGAACGATAATGAAGATCCACAGGGTTAAGGTTTAGAAAACTTATTTTTCTGTCAAGACATAGTGTACAAAAAAAGATTACTCTATACATCTCTAACATTATGCTATTTTAGTATTGATCAATTTTAGAATCTTTCAACTAACAAGGGAACATTCTCAGGGTATGGGTATGACTTTATAGGATTTTTGTTACAATTCAGCACAAGAATCTTGCAAAAACTTGAAAACGTTTGTTCTTATTGTATATATAAACAATAATATTTAAAATCATTTTAGAGCTTCTGGCACATTGTTTAAGTAATTTATAATGTCAATGCGACGAAAAAAATTAATCTTCAATTGATAGCATGTTATCGGAAATCAATTTCATCTGTATTAGAATCCTTTTGTAAAATGTACTAATGATAAGTGTTGTTGAGTTTCATTTAACATAAAACTTCGTACACATGTTTGTCTTGCTGATACAACAGTTCAATATATAATTTTTCAAATATTAAACGATAAAAATATATTTACTTAAAAATAGATGAAAATTTCAAGATATGAGATATTTTTGTTAAAAAGGCAAAAGAAATAACAATGACTTGGTATTTTCATCTATTGTCAAGTAAATATTTTTTTTTGTTATTAAACATTTTTAACCTTATGACCATGTCGGTCCTAAACGGACTATAGAGCTCAAGAACCATATGTATCGATAATAAAAATGATTAAAAAAATAGAAAAAGAACGAAAAGAAATAAGAGACGAAGACCAAACATGCAAAAGACGAGAACAGAAGAGAAAGAAACATGACTCATTTTCTCTTGCTTTCTTCTTTCCTCTCTCTCTCTCTCTCTCTCTCTCTCTCTCTCTCTCTCTCTCTCTCTCTTCTTTTTTTTGTCAGAGTGACCTAAGAATACGTGCTATTAGAATCAACTACATAAAACTTTCACGAAATGAAGCAAACCATGAAAGTTCTTTCTTATTACAATCAATTATCGAATCCGACGTTCCATAAGTTGCCATCCATGTGTGGTACAAATCTTTTTGATCTATATAGACAGCAAATTTGTCTTTCATCATCTTACCAGTTTGATTTGTGTGTTTAATTTTGATTGCTTCAATAATAGATATCCATCTTTGGACTTCGACAGCCTCATTAAATATTTTTCCCAGTAGATATAGCAATGGTCATCTAATTGTTTTTCGTTATATGTTGACGAAAACACGGCATCCTCCTACCATTGACAACGGTATACACCTTTTAAAAGTGTGAAGTATAGATGATTAAGACCAGCACGTTGTGAATAATGGATAAAGTCCAAATAGCCACGTGAAAAGTGGTAGCACGAATATAGAAACGAGCACTCGACATAATTGTGTAGAGGAAATATCATTGATTCTGATCGAATTCACCAGTACTATCCGCTGACGGACGGTTATTCGTGTCTTTCCGATAATATTTGTCAAGTAAATATCTTTATCTTACAATATTGAAGAGATAATATTTTCCAACATTATCTGTAGAATATGTATGAAAATACAGAATATTTGGTAACAAAATTATTACTATACATGATGCTATTATTGTAGAATTTATTTGTTTATTAATAAAAATGTTAATTTAAAAAAAATATTCTTGAATAAAAATCAAAGAGATAAAATAGCACCTTTAGTTGTGTATGTAGTCGACAATACTTATTTTGTTAATCATTCACATCGAATAATTTACAATTATGTGAACATTAATGCGGGTGTAGCGTGTGTGTAAAATAAATATTCTCACACATACATGTCCGCACAACTTCGACTTAAAACTTCCACTTACTATTTTCTTCGAAAATATATGTTAGTTCCACAAAAATATATTGCAGAAGTTCAATAACATTTAATGAAAAAAGTTTAAATTTATTATTCTAATAAATTGTAAAGAGTTTATGAAAAAGAAAGGATTTTTTTTTTCATATTATTTCTTCTAAAAATTAATGAATCAAATTTTAAATTAAGATACAATATAGAATTCTTTATAATCTATATGATTTCAAAAATAAAACAATTTAAGTAAACGTATATTAAAAGAAATATCTGCAAAGTAATGTGTGTGACCCTTTTTTTCTATTAATTTAAACTATTGATACAAAAGAAAAAATTAAATTAAAAAAATTCTACATTTGATAATTTCAACGTGTCTATTAATGAAAATTACATTTGTGCTGTTTTTTCATCTTTATTATTATTGACTACAATGATTAATTAATAATATCACTAAAGATAATATTCATATTCTGATCTTTCCAAACGAATAATATAATTATCATTAAAAAAAAACAATCTATTCGAAGTATCTAAAATGGACAAGAGAATATATTAATAAATTATTTTTAAATAAATCACCTTCGGGACAAGAAATTCTTTAACACTGACATTGTAATATTTTATGAATATTAGTTGTACAATAATATTTCTATTGGAAATATCAACAAAAAACAGTTAAATAAAATTAAAATAATTTCCATGACCAAGTGTTTCAATTGCAATGATTTGCAACTAGATGCACAAGCAAAAATACGACAAGGAAATTAGATATTTTCAATTGATATTTGAAGTATCGTAAAGAGATCAATGGATAAGAATTTGCAAGTTTTGCAAGCAGTTATCATTTCTTGTAATATTTAATGAGACTCATCAATTAAATAAGACATAATTTAGATCAATTTTAGAAAAATTATAATAATTTCTGATATATCAGTATTTTATCTTACAAATATTGTTATTCATTAACCATTCTCTGGTATTCGAATAAATTGAATAGTATAATTAAAATATTATCGAAACAACATATATTAATTAGTTTATTGCTTCCAATTATTGATTTCAATTAGTATCGACAGTAGAAGTTCAATTATCCACTTCATATAAATCATATCGTGATCAAATATATATTTAACAGAGAACAACTGTTTTTTTTTTATTAAACAAATGAAGTAACATTAAAAAGAAAAAAAAAAGATTTCCATCGAGATCACAATTTCATAAACTTTCAAGTTGAATATCTTTTTCATCACGCGGGTCATACACAAAAAAAAGAAACAGAATGTTTAAGTACCTCCGTTCACACTCAAAATAAATAGATTTTTATCAAAATTCTTATCTAAGATACATATGTGACATGGTAGTGTGAAGCCTTCGAATACTACAGCATGTTGACAATTTTGCATGTTTCTTAGCTCATTCTCTCAAAAAAAAAGTCTATTTATGACAACAAACGGTAAGTATATTTTGTTTTTCATGGTATCCAGAATATTCGAACAAACTGTATCACAGGTGACTATTCATGCTTTTGTTTTATTCGAACGATTTTTTTAAAACACTTTTGAAAATATAAAATTCTTGTACTCAAGCAGACAAGAATTGTCAGAAAAACGTATGTAAACGCTCAAAAATACGACTTTAAGGATATTTCATATTGTAGGAAATTTTTTTGAGCATTTACGTTCGTTTTCAACAATTCGTGTCTGTTTAGATATCATGTAAAATTAATATTTTGTGAAAGACGATCTAAAAGAAATGTTAAAGTATAGAGATAGAAACTCCAGCCTACCCGCCCCTTTTCTACAGACCATAACAGATGTTGTTGATATATAATCAAATATTTTACTATTATACATGAACCACTTTCTTATTGAATTTCTGAAGAATTAAGTAAAAGGATGGTAAAGAAATGTATCTCAATATAGAATCTCCTCGTGATTAACAACATCAGCAACTAAATCGTGTTTCACATTTTAATCATACAAGAATTGCACTAGTAATTTTTAAAAGAAAGAATCTGTTAGATGCTTCATTCGGATATGTTCTGTTGAGCAACTATAAATAGAGCTATTGATAATAAAGTATCCTAGAGAATACTTATTACTAGCTAGACTATTTATAGTAGTCTTTGCAATAGAAATTGTTACAACTGTAGCGAGACGTTGCGAGAACTGACTTATGGTTTCAGTTTGACAAAATATTTTTTAAAAATGGCATATTATTAAGAGAAAAAAAACTATCATACTTTGAGTGTAGCGAAAGTCGTATAATGCTTTAAAGATAAAAGAAAAAGAATTTAGTACATATACAAGAATAAACTTTAAAAGGAAAATATCTGTGCTATTTCTTGAGTAGAATGAAGTTTTACTTGAACAATTTCAATAGTAAAAAGTTCTTTTAATTAGTACTTTCTTCACTTGATTCGGTATTTAAGTTAGTAGGACTTGTTTGTTTCTGATTGTGTATAGGTGTTCGACAAGTAGCACCTTCTATTGTTTGTTGAACACCTTCGATTGGAGCAGAAGCATTTTCTCGCATTTCCATTGCTTCATTATGTAATAAAACTGTATAAGAAAAAAGAAACTTATTTGATTGATTCGATGACAATATGTCTTACTTGTATCCGTTCTTGTTCGTTGTTCATTATCAAGATTTGTTTGATCTAACTGATGATTATTGAGATTTTCAGCATTTTCTATTATTTGGTCTAATTGTTAGTATAGTATTTAAATCCAAAAAAAAAAGAAAAGAATATAAAATTTGTCTAACATACCTCTTTCTTCATTATCATCAGATGAATCATATTCATCATCACCATCAAAACCACTTTCTGAACCTAAAATTGGATCTAAACAAAAATATATATATTAGATTAATTTCAACATTATCGACTAGTCATAAATTATTATGATTATTTGTTTATGAGAAACTAATCATACATACCTTCTTCATCACTACTATCACTAGACTGTATATCATCTTGCGATTCGACCGAGTCCAGAGGGTTTATATTACCTTTCAAATAAAAAATACAAAACAAACAGTTTAATTATCTTGTATCAAAATATATTATTTTAGCTTACATGTTGAATCATCAACTACAGTTTGTGGTGGCTCATTTTCGTTATTATTCATAACTTGAATATTTACGCCTAAATATTTATGAGATACTATGTACTAGGAAATAATAAAAGAAAAGAACTATTTACCAATTTGTAGATTTTGAGCAATGATATTACCATTCGTCATTGTATATGACGTTGCATCTTCATTGACATCACCATTTTCATCATTTATGATAAAATATGTAGGTCGAGCATTATTTAAACCTGCCAGAACTTCTGTACCGTGTGGTTGTGTGTCTTGAATTCCTAATGGTTCATCGTCGGCGGCTAGAAATATAAAATTAATATTTATGAAAAAAGTTTTTAAAGTCACTTACTCATCACAGTTGTGGAAAATGTGAAAGTTTCATCGACTGGATCTAGAATAGTGTATCGAATAATATTATAGATTATTCAATGTTTTTTTTCTAAACCTAAAAGTATTACTTACGACCTGCACGATTTTCTGCTTGTGCATCTCGATCCACGCGAAAATAATCTGTAATAAAACAATAAATAAATATTCTAAAAAAATAAATCTAATAAAATCTCACGATCAATGGGTAAATTGAAAGGCCCTAATTGAGATTGAGACACTTGCAAAGTTGATCGATTTCTATAATTCATCATTTCGTAAATAATAAGTACGAAAAATAATAAATCATAAAATTGATAATAGAATAAACAAAACCACATTAATATCAACCAATCTTCTAATAATAATATTGGTATTTCATTATGATGAACTGGACAAATAATAAGTCCATCGATTTGTTCATCTAAAGTATGTGATTAATCGAAACAAGAATCTATTCATAGAATCAATTATACTTGTCATTGGTTCTAAATCATGAGATGCTTCATTCGAAGCAAGTTCTGCATGACCTATATTAACAGGTGTTGAATGGTGATTATTCGATGTTCTTGAATGTTCTTCATTTTCTAAATATATAAAAAAATAATCTTTGATGAAATTTAATATTTAAGATTGATTTTTTCCTCAGATCCTGCTTTAATTTTTGATACTTACCGTCAGACGATGAATGTGAATCGCTATCATCATTAGCATTGAAGTTCGATGTATTACGTTGGTTTGACATTTTTTTTTTAATTGTCGAAGTTTGTTTGTTGAATTCTATATTATAAGATTACTTGATCTTGCTCATGTAAACATGAACAAGATCTCTTGATTAAGCCAAAACGATAAACTATCTACAATAAAATCAAGATCAATCCTTTCACGTTTTAACTTTTCATTATATTTTCGTATTAATATATGAAAGTCTTCTAAAAATGATCATCTCTATATGAATTCTTTGTCTATCAATAATAAACGATTCTTAATATTCTTTTAGTTAATTTTTCTTGTTTCCTACAATCATAGATATCGTTGTGTATTCCTTGTTTTTCATCATAAAAACCTCTTTCATCAAGGGTTCTCTTTTCACCAAAATAAAATAAGGGTGTGGGTGTGGGTGTGGGTGTGCGTGGGTGTGGGTGTGGGTGTGGGTGTGCGTGTGGGTGTAGGTGTAAGTGTAGGTATGGGTGTGGGTGTGGCTATGGCTGGGGATGTGGGTGTGGGTGGGTGTGGGTGTGGCTATGGCTGTGGATGTGGGTGTGGGTGGGTGTGGGTGTGGGTGTGGCTATGGCTGTGGATGTGGGTGTGGGTGGGTGAGTGTGAGTGTGTGGGTGGGTGAGTGTGAGTGTGTGGGGTATGGGTGTGAGTACTCTGATCTTCCATACCCACACCTACACCCACACCCACACCCACCCACATCCACATCCCACACACCCACACCCCACACCCACACGTCTGGGGTCCTATGGTACCCCTATAGGGCAGCCCTTGATGACTTATTGGTATCCCTACAGGTAGCCTTGGTGGACCTATGGGTACCCCTATAGGATAGCCTTAAGGGACCTTTGGGTATCCCTACAGGTTAGCCGTGCGGATCCTATGGGTACTCCTACAGGATAGGTCTTGGGGACCTATGAGTATCACTATAAAGTAGCCCTTAGGACGTATGGGTACCCCTATACGATAGCGCTTGGAGACCTATGGGTATCGCTATATGGTAGCCCTTGGGGACCTAT